AGTTCCACCAGAAGACCTCAAATCCAACCATTGTCCTAACCCCTTATTCCCTAATATGGTCATGGGAGTTAGACCAGAAAACCTCAAATCCATCCATTATCATTACCTCTTATGCCCTAATATGGTCGTGGAGGGTGGAGCCTATGCAGGTAGCCAATGGGGAGAGGCGGGGTCACCCTGGACTCGATACCATTTTCGATACCACAAGGATAAAAACAAAGACGCCAAAATTTTGCTGAATTTTGACAGGTTAGTGTCTTTGGTTTCAAACTGACCTGTTACTAATGTTATGGTGGCCCACATTAATGACCCTAACCCTAACCCTAACCCTGACCCTAACCCTAACCCTGACCCTAACCCTAACCCTAACTCTAACCCTAACCCTGACCCTGACCCTAACCCTAACTCTAACACTAACCCTGACCCTGACCCTAACCCTAACCCTAACCCTAACCCTGACCCTGACCCTAACCCTAACTCTAACACTAACTCATAACTCGTAACCCTCTGGTCCTGGTTCCTCTGGCCCTGGTTCCCCCGGGACCCCAAAACCCTCGGGGACAAGAACCTAGAACCGTGTGGGTGTAGAACCCAAAACCCTCTTGGACTAGAACCTAGAACCCTCTGGGTGTAGAACCTAGAACCCAGAACCCTCTGGGACTCTAACCCAGAACCCTCTGGTCCTGGTTCCCCCGGGGACTCCAACCCAGAACCCTCTTGCTCCAAAAAAGACAACTCTCTTTTGTGCTAAACAAACATACGTGTGCGTGTTCGTGATGGGAGATGAATTCCAGGAATATTTGACAGTGCAGGATTTCAGCCGTCATCCATCAACCCCAAACAGAATTATGAGGACAGGGATTCCCAACAGGTCCAGACAGGTGAGGTATGGGGCATGTGGAATACAAAACAGGCTGTGGTAGAAGTGTGTGTGTGGGGGGGGGGGTCGAGTGGTGGTCATGGGGGGGGGCTGATAAAGAGATAAATGCAGAATCCATGTTCCAGCCAGAGGAGTTCGTCTTTAACTCATTGACTGCCAAAGACGTCTATAGAGGTCTTTTATGTTTTTAACGAGTGTCTGGGGGACGATCTGCTAAAGCTTGTCCGTAAATATGGGCTTCTAGACAGAGTATGTAGTAACAAATTGAGCCTCTAGGGGGCAGTGCCACTTTTGATGGGAGATGAGCATAGACTGTAGGCAAATAAGAAAAAGCGAACGGTTCTATGAGAGAACATGTCGTCGGTGAGACGCAAGTCCAGGAAGAACGGAATAAGGAAGAAACACATTTTTTTTCCTGATGAAAGAAGAGAGTCTACTCTTTCTTTTGGTGTGTTCGGTGTTTACATAGTCATAGCACAAACTATTCTGTGGCTCTTGAAAAATCAGTCAAAATGCTCAAAAAACTCTGGCAGTATGGGACTCTGTTCTGAAAATGGCCTGGATCTGCCCACAAAAAGGGAAGTTAAAGGGCTGAGTGCGGGACCATTAAAAACAATGGGGAGTTCAAAACAAGGTGATATTACATATAAAATCAGGTACTTGATGTTTACTGTAACGGCTTTTTAAAAGATATGGTCAAAGTCACCGAGAAAAACTGGGTACTTACTTTAAAACATTACAGTATATCATAAATCGGGACCCATACAATATATATAATACAAAAGCAAAGGTGCCTTTTCAACAATAAGGACGACAGTAATAGAAAAACTCAGCAAAGCTGCAAACTATCCTCGATACAGTGTGTCACGATTCAATAATCAGTTACCTTGTGAGCCTCAATCAAACGCTGAGTTCTGCAAAGCCCCATTGATTCGCTGCAGAAATGAAAGGCAGGCAAACTGCGATTCACCACCGATTCCGCCACAACCAGCCATGTCTGCATTTGTGAGGGGCGTGCACGTGCACGTGCACGTGCACGTGCGCGTGCACGAGGGGAGCCCGAGGGGCAGTAATATAAAAGACCAACACACAGCTTGAGAGTGGTACGGATTCTTTGATGGTGGATCCACACATGGGGTGTTGGTGGGACTTACTGGGATCTCCATAAACAGCCGAATATTGTGGGAAATACCTTTAATAATTAAAAGGCCAGGAAGACAGAAAACGTACTAACTAATGTAATTCTTGAAGGGAAATAACAGGAGTTTTCACTCGTGTTTTTGCATGAAATATTGATATGAACAAAAATCCTTTTAATCATGCCAATACTGACTGGTAACAGCTTCTGTGTGTTTGCTAAAAGGCAGCTAAAGTTAGCTGGTATCTGGGAGCATCCTGGTAAGGATTGTTAGAATTTGGCTATAATTACTCATTTTAGCATAGTATGCTATCACATGATCTATGTAAATTACTGATTGTTTTATTTTCTTTTATAACTATATTTTGTGTTAAAGTCTCTCTCTTTTTCTCTTTTTCTTTCTTTGTTCCACACCTTTAGGTCAACACACACACACACCATTTGTTAGCACATTCCTGTCATCTGCATGAATTAGGACCTGGCCTGTTCCTGCCCAGAGGTAACTGGCCAATAGGACTTGGTTGTGTCCAGAGAGAGGTTTTAGTCTGTCAGAGCCCAGCTGATACACTTAACTGTGACCAAATAACCCTATAATGCCAAATGTATCATATCTGATTCATACGGTTTCTGAAATGTTTTGCGTCTGACTCCTTTTGCATAATTTAATGGTAAAAACTTTGCTCTAAATCCTATTGAACACAATCAGATACACCTGATAACAGGGGGCAAAAGACTACACAAAAAATAATCTTGACTTATCGCATAGTAATAAATTATTAATATCAAAAATGTATTTCAGTTTTTTTCTTTTTACATATTTTGTTAAAAGGCCAAATAAGGAATTAAAAAAAAAAACAAAACAATTTTTCTATTTTGTTGTATTCTTGGATCAGGCTTTAAAGGGATAAATGTCATTTTTTATACTTCTGATCTACTCTGGTTTATTCTCAGGTTTCCAACTAAAGAATCGGGCTAACAGGATCTTTACTGTGAGGGAAATGTATTGTGTGGTGAGCAAAAGCTGCAGGAGGTCAGAATCAATACTCCAGATTCCTCAGACGTGCAGATGTTCAAAAATGTGAGAAGCCAGCCAGCATGTATGTGCGAACAAAAAGTGGTTTGAGCCACATTTTACAGGCTTTCACAGCCTGCAATTAAGAGGCTCGAACATCTTGAAATTGTGGCTAGTTTTCTTCAAAATTGTTGCTCACTGCAATCAGAACATGGCGCCTCGTCTTTTTGGAGCGAACGTTTGGACTTCTACTATTGAAATGGCAGAATTCTGCCAAGAAATAGATTTTTCTCCAAGAAAAATGCTGTTTCCAGAGTACAGAAACCTTCTATGGATGAATGGTGGTCATTTTGTTAAAAGAAGACACTCCTCAGTCCACATTTTTCTGTGGTTTTATGGCTCTAACTTTGTGTACAGCAGATAAAAAATTGCATTCTAGGAAATCCAAATGCAACATCTAATGCCATAAATGATAAAAAATCAGCTAAACACACTAAAATCAGCTAAACACACTCCGCTCTCTCATGTGAAAATTAGCTATTCGCAGCATGTTCAGCACTGGGAGCTAAATAAACTTCTCTAACGAGGATTTCTGTGATTTCTCCTTTTTGTAAATAGGGTTTGCGTTAGGGTTACTCACCCAAAAAGAGACTTCTACTATTAGTAGCTAAAAAAACTATAACGGATAATTGGAAACAAGTTCTGTCACCATCTATAACAGAGTGGAAGAAGAGGGTAAAACAAGTGTATATGATGGAAAAAATGGCCGCATGTTTACAACTCAAAGTGGACAAGTCCAATTAAAGATGGCGTTTGTGAAATTATATTTGGGTGTATGATCGGTATTCTTATGGTATGTATTTGTATATGTGTATATACATGTATGTGTGTATATATTATATATGTATTTTTTGCTGTTTGTTTACTTTATGTTGCATTTTGTGTTTGTGTGTATCAGAATCAGAATCAGAATCAGAAATACTTTAATAATCCCAGAGGGAAATTATTTATGTATGTATACATATGGTAGTGTGTATGGGCAGTTTTCTCTTTTAGGGCATTTCAAAGTTTCAGGTGATCTGGTTTATTGTGCTGCTTTTATTTTGAAATATTGTATACGTGGCATCAGTATTTCTGTTATTGATTTCATTGCTCTTGGCTCAGGGAATGTTCTTTTGTTGTTGTGAAAATTCTTGAAAATAAAAAGTTCCAAAAAAAAAAGAGAGACTTCTCTTGCTTAAAGTCACATAAAAACACTTTAAAATCGCAAACAGTTTTTGTGCTTTGGCTCAACATGGAAACGCCTGTTAAGATAGAGGGGGACAATGCAGCAAATAAAAGTTTAAACATGTTGTAAAAGCAAAGTCAGCCATGAGAATTTTAATTAGAAGAGAATAAAAACAAGCCACAACGAATATGATGAATGTTCTCCAGACTTCGGGCTAATGATGTTTTTTTAATCAAACCTCTCTTTTGTTGGCGGGAGCTTAATTCAACTTTAATGTTCGGCGTGCAGAAACATTCTCATTTCTCCTCTCTGCTTAAATAAAAGAGGAACCATCAGCCTTTGTGGCCTCCATGACAGCAGGACTGGCCATACTTTCAAACAAACCACGATTTCAATATCATTTAAAAGGCCATTAACTAATCTAATAAGCCAGTTTCATCCACAGTGACTGGTGACTAAAGAAATGAACCACCAGTTGTCTTATTGTGGCCTTTAATCAACACGACTAATAGAATCATATTTCCACAAAGGAGATAAGAAAGAAAGCTAATTGGACCATAGTTTGAAGCAATCAAGATGTGAAATGCAGTATAATAACAAAATGCATCGTTTTCTTTCTGATTCGGGGGACATAAATGCATTTTGGATGGGAGGAGGATGGAAATTGGATTTTCAATGAAAGTCCAAAGGAAACTATGAAGTCTGGGATCTTATCAGTAATTGAGTCGTACAGTGATAAGAAACAAATCCTCAGCCGTTAATTATGTAGTCTGGGGGAATTTATGGTGTTTTTGTCCTGTCTCCATGGTTGTCTTGTCATTCCCTGTTTTATTTTGAAAAGTAAATCCCCTTTGTAATTGTTTATACAGTTTTATACATAATGTTCAAATATGATAAGTCTATGATTTGTTATTCATTTCAAGGGTACTTGTCTTATTGGAATTTATGTAAGTTGTGTTTGTTTTATATTGTATTATTTAGAATAGAGTGGATTTGCTTTTGTTTTGAAGTTTAGAGAGCGGCACTTTTATTTTGAAATCAAGGAGTCTTGTTTTGAGCTCGAAAAAACACGAAAAGCAATGAAGCCAAAGTTAAAGATTTTGCAGAAGTTAGGGGTTATATGTGAATTGAGTATCTTTAAGATTTGGATCATTCATGCAGCCAACGAGGACTTTTATTTATTTATTTATTTATTTATTTATTTATTTATTTATTTATTTATTTATTTATTTATTTATTCATTTATTTAATCTATTTATTTATTTATTTATTTGTTTGTTTGCTTTTTAAGTATTATTTCCTATGCTCTGCAGGTTATTGTTATTGTCTCTTTGATGTTTGTGTTTTGCTAACTTTATTTAGTTTTCATGGTGGATTTGGAGATTCCAAAAGACTTCAAAATAAACCAGTAAAAGAAAACCCACTTGAGTCTGCTGGTGCTTAGAGGCTAATGTCTTTTCCAGTGTGTTTCATCTCTTGACCCTGACTGATCATTAACCTTGTCCTGGAACCAAACCTTGCCTTGAATCTTGTCAAACCTTGAAAGAGTCATTTTGTTTTCCGATCCTCCTAGTTTTATCTGACTCTGTTTTGTCTGACTATTATTTTGTTACTTCTTTTGATAGCCTTTTTTCCATTCTTGCCTTTTTGAGCGATTATATGCTGATAGTTTGCCCACAGTCATGTTTTTGCCTCGTAAGAGTGATTTTGATTTATAACTTTCTTCATAGTTTTGTCTACCTTGTTTTGCACTTTGTTTTGATAAAACCTTTTAACTCAAATCTCCAAATCTGAGTCCTGCCTGGAGTTACCATCCTGACAAAAGTCTGGATGGACGTCTACAGTGGGGGAAATAAGTATTTGAGCCCTTGCTGATTTTGCAGG